TAGTAAAATTTATATATAAAAAAAAAAATATTTGTTTAGATGACTTGTAATTTGCCAATTAAGTAAAAATATTCAGAACCTTCTAAAACCTTGTATAATTTAAAATTTGATCTATTATATCTGATTTCTATTTTGGTATTAAACTGTATTCTAATCTTAAATTTTAGCAAAAAACTATTTTTATAATAAAATTGGGGTGAATATTAATATCCTCTGGTATAAAATTCATTTTTACTATTTAGTATTACTATTATTATATTATTATTATTTTTGATTTTTTTTAAAACATGCTAATTGTATTATCTCTTAAACCGTAATACGGGCAAATTTGCTTGCTAAAATTTTTGTGCCCTATTTTTTTGATATTACTCTAAATTTTATTAAGCTATGCCCCCATATTTTTTAAGCTAGAATAAAAGCGCATAATATGCTTGTTGTCAAATAACTATTAACTTGTGAACTTTATTTAACTGTACTCCAAAAATCACTTTAGTAGAGTTGATCGTAATCTGATCTTTATGTTCAAATTTAATAATAAAAAAGGTAACTATCACGTGACAAATATAAATGATTTTCATAATCGTCACGTAGAGATACCTTTTATAATATAACATTAGAGTTGGTCAAAGATCTTTATGATTAACATCACAGAACTAATTTTGGAAATAATGGTAAGAAAATAATATCCCAAAAGATCAAGTCAAATGGCATGTTTTATAGCTATTGTATAAACTTATACCATCTGTTTAGATAATTTTTAGTATATAACACTGCAATTATTGAATATGACATATGACTCAAGTTTTCAGGAATCATGATAGTTGATTAGAATAAGATTATAAAAAAATTTTTTTATATGTCCTATATTTCATCCAATTATTTTAGTAGGCAAATTTGTCTGCTAAATTTTACAGTTTAAGAGATATAAAACTTCTTTTTTATTATTGAATTTCTTTGCAATATTATTATTGTTTTTTTCTGTATTAGCAGCCTCACTAGTATCTTTTATTAGATCAAAGCAAATATACAAGTATATTCTAAACTATCTAAGCTATAGATCTGATATCACTCAGCTTCTTTTATGGGTATCTAAATATGATTTACCTTATTAGTTAAGGCTATTGCCTGTACCAAAGAGCTATACTAAGCTAGCTAGCAAAATTATAACAAGATAATTTCAAATTAAAAGAACTTTCTACTTTATTTAATTAATAATTTTCTCTTTCTAAATTATTCTCTTTTTTAAAACAATATTCTAAATCTAATTTGCTAATAATAAACAATTTTACTTTATTTTTTACTCAAGGGTTATTGCTAGAATTTTTTTGTTTATATTTGTATTTTCTTTTCTTTTTTTTCCAATTTAATCTGTTTTTTCAATTGTGAACCCAGCTTTTGGAAATCTTCTTATATCTTTTCCTTTAACCTTTTCTTTCTGTTTTGTAACTTCAAATTCTCTTTCTTCTTTTCAGAAGCTTGTTCTATAGGTTTCTTTCAAAAATATTATTCTGTAGATTTTCTTTTCTTCTAACTATCTTAGGTTTTCTTTTGATCTTTTTATTTCTGAGTCTTGGTTGGGTGTGAAGGTTTTTTTTTTTTTTTTTTAGGATTTAGTTTTCTTTCCAGAAACTTGTACTTTGATAGAGTTTTTGATTTTTAAAATATTTGTAAAAATCTTTTCTACTATCTCTAATATCATATTCTTTTTTTTTTTCTAATTCTTGATCTCCTTCAATCTAGACATTAATGTATTTTGAGTCAAATTCATATCAAAGCTCTATTGGAATTTCAAACAATATATCCATTTAACAAGCAAATCTTTCTTCTTCTTTTTCCAAATTTTATTATTGAACTGTGAGTCTTTGATGTTTGCTTGGTATATTACTTCTATCAACTATTTTGCTAGGGTTGTTAACACGATTTTTGGTCTTGTTTTTTCTTGAATTTTGTTTAGTGTTTGTTTTCTTAGAATTAGCTTCCAGTTTTAGGTATTGTTTTTCTTTCTTTATGTTTAACTAATATCCATTTATTTTTTCAAACTATTTATAACTAAAAATACAATTAAAAGATTAAGATTGAAACTAAATCTATAACTAATCTAGGATTAAGGCTATTCTCAAACAGCACCCCAATGTAATTTGCTAGTGATAGAGATGTTGCACCATCGTTTCGATCAATTGAACTTAATTGGAGCGAACCTGAGAATAGATTGGCCAAAATTCATTATGCGAAATGCGGATATTATTTTTTTTTTAGGCTAATCAGATCATAAAGGGAGGAGCTTGAAAACAACCTAAATCGTAAACATTCAATGAATAACCATGTAGAGTTAACATAGAGATTAGCTAGTGATCGAGAATTCGTACAAATTATTGCGATTAATTGAGTGGTTAATGAGGTTAATCAAAGAACGACACATTAAAAATTTATTGTGCGAAATTCGAAGATCACCTATACGTTACCGACAGCTCATTTAGCCGACATCACATCAAGTTACAATTTAACAAACATATATCGATATACTAGCAATTAATCCAATGCTAACCTAACCCCATGTGATGTCGACTAAATTAAATTTCGGTAAAATGACAGTCTGTCAATCAGAGCAACTCTGTGAAAAAAAAAGATGGACAGTATTACCAGATTTTATTCATCGAAATGATAAAACACTTTCTGACCACCTATTATGCAATTACAATTGAATAAAAAAATTGGTATATTGTAACAGTTGTAAGTGGGAACGGAATTTAAGTGGATTTGGAACTTATTAGGATTTTTAGGGTTAGGGTTAGGGTGTAGATTTATGTAAAATAAATTATACGTACTAAATTTATTTTAAAATTATAATTTTACTAAGAAATTCCAAATGCAGTTAAATTCCGAACGCACCTACAACATAACCAGTTAATGATAAAAATAATAGCAATTAATTGGATTTATCATAAAGTCTTAGACTTTAAAAATATTCTACGTATTTATAGAAACTTGTTGCTTAGTTTGGAGAACGTCTTTGATCGACTACATTTTGGCATTTTCAAGTAAGCGTGTTAATAGATTTTTTCCAGTCAGTATACGTAGTAATATGTGACAAGTAAAAACCAACGTTCTACAGCATTGGAAGTCATTATTCGAAACTTTGAACCAACTTAAAAAAGAAACTTAAAAGTCATCGAAAAGGGGGTTTGCATAATTTGTAAATTGCAGGAAATTATTTGAGTGCATGGTTTTTTATGTATTATTAAGTTATATTAAGATATTTTTTGTTATATATACGTCAATATAAATGTCGAAAATATTACGGCCTATGCCGTAACTAGTTTCAAATAAGCCGAAATAGTTTCGGCACCATGTATAAATTTTAGGGTCACCCGAAATACTACGTGATTTAACTAAATCCCATTCTCACAATATAATGATAATCAACCCACAATTAATTAAAGCTGACCATGCAATCAATTAGCCAATAAGAAACAGAAACAATTACAACGAAGGCTTTATATATATAGTCAAAATTGTATTCCGTGGATATTCTTACAGGCATCCGTTTATAATCTGGATATCTGCATAATGTTATTCGTAGATGACCAAGGCTCGTGAAAATTCATTGAAATTCACTGAATCGTTATGAAAATTTACTGAATCGCTATGAAGTTCATTGAATCGTTATAAAAAATCGGTTTCAAATCTGCGGATACCAGGGAAATTCGGAATTCATACTAAATATATATATATATATGCAATTGACTTTGCATAGATAAAGATAGTCAGCTAAGCCGATTTTTAATTAATTTACTATATAATTAATTATTTTTTATACTAGATTTCCTTTTGAGTTTGTATTACAGGCACAAATAAGTAAACCCCTATCGTATTTTTATCACATTTCTATCGTACATACGTACAAACTACCGTAGTGCACTGACTAAAAGACCCGGGGTTTAATAAAAATTTCTGAAAAAAAACTTATATAAGATACCTGGGGTATTTTGACTGTCATTGGGCCAAAATTTTTGAATTTTACCAGAATTACATAACTTTACACCATATATTATACCCGGGTATTTTACTCAAAAAGGGGGTCTTTTAGTTAGCGCACTACGGGCATTCAAAAATTATACGTAACAATATATAACAATGTATAACAATATATAACATACATATATATAAATTCGCACACGTTACATACTTACGTATTAACGCAGTTGACTACTTTAAATGAATTTTGCGAATAAGAAAAGCGATTCAAGACTATTTCTTTCTTTATATCTGCAAATAACCAAAAAATGATACATAATATTCATTTACTGCGTATGTATGTACGTATGTACGTATATGTGCGTATTAGTACGTTGTGTGCGTTGCTTGTATGTACGTACGTACGTACGTGACTTATACGTACATACATTTATATAATACATATGAACGAGTATGAAATGTTGAAAAGCGCCACTATGTTAAACTTTCACGAGATTCTTACACACAAACATAATTAAACGTTATGTACGTTTTTTCGTCTATCGTTTATTTATATTATAGTTTTCCTTTTTGGTATATCAGCGAAGTCAAGATGCACTTAATTACAAGCGATAACCAATTATCATTATTTATTTCCAGAGATAGAAAGTATTCTAACCAAAAAATTTTTTCGGTTTTTCATAAAAATTAATTATATATAAATGTATTTATATAATTTATATAGCAAATATATATGATCGAACTTGCCTATTATCTTGTGATTGATGATTGAAATGATTGGAAAAGCGAGCATAATTTATTATAAGGAATAATATGGCTGCATCTCTTTGTTCAACATAGCATTCGCTATAAAATAAACCTCATGATTTTTACTTTTAAATGTCTTTTGATATCTAACCTCTTTTTTCTCATTCTTTATCCAACTTTAAAAATCCTTCATTAATATTCCATATTATTCCACTTCCAAATTCTTTCGCTATAAGAAATCATCATTAATAATAGTATAATAACTTATTTCACACAAAATGAAATTCTTCAATTTACTCGCTTATACTGCCCTTATCGCATTACTTTCTTCTCACAACGCTGAAGGTATATATGTTTTTGTGCGTCGTCAAGGGAAAACCTGTTCTCTAAGTGCCGTATTTTGTAACAAATATAATCGAAAGTCCGATGATTTTCTCTAGACGGCACTCAGAGAACAAACTGGACTCAAATTATAATTGAAAGCCTGATTACAGGTTTTCCCTTGACCGCACTCATTTTCTCTAATTCTAATTATAATTCTAATTATAATTCTAATTATAATTCTAATTATAATTCTAATTATAATTCTAATTATAATTCTAATTATAATT